AAAAAGAAAAAGAAAACAAGCAAAGATCTAGAATCAATAAAGACCTAGAAATAGGCTAACCAGTCCCCGGCAACGGCGCCAAAAACTTGATACGTGTGTACCGAGTCTAAAATCAATAACCCGGTTCACAACTCACCGCAAGGATACGGATCGTCATAACACGGGGTCGAACACGAGGATCGGTTGCTAAATCTAAATCTAATCGAGACTAAATCAAAGCAAGTAGAAGTGAAAGTGATGGTGGAAGTGTATGGAAAGAATAGAGAATAAGGAAGCAAAACAATAAAAGAGAGTAAACTAGCAATCTAAGATGACCGTGGGTGTCGGAATCGTATTCGCGTGTATGGGTATATGCTAAGCATGTGAGAATCACGATATTGAATCTGTATTCGGGAATCGTCAAGCAACAAAGATAGAGAAATCACCTCCCGCATATAACTCACTATCTAAAGTTCTCTAAATCCATATCCCTATGTGATTTATCAAACTAGATGCATGAAGAACACTATCATCAATCCTAGATCGATCAAACCATATTCCTATGTGAATAATACGATCTATTCTATCGATTTCGATCCGAAACTAAACCCATATTCCTATGTAGTTCAGAATCTGAAATAATTGGCCAAGGGGTCAGCAAACACCAATCGAATAAAGCACAAATCGATAAATCTGAAACAAATCCAAATCGCAACCAAGTTAGGGTTCAAACATACCCAAAACACAAACGAATCCCTAACCCACAGCCGTGGATCTACTCACGGTTCATGGAAAAACACTGAGCAAAACCAGAAACAGAAAGAAAAGAGGGAGAAGAAAGACTCATGTCGACAGCAAGCGATCTTCACGTTCCAACTCTCCTTCTTCTTCCCGAAATCCTGTAAAACTCCTATTTCTCTCACCAAAGCTCTCCAAAGTCTGTATAAAGTCTATCTCCCTCTCTAGGACGTCTGTAGAGTCTTTTTATAAACCCTAGGTGGCGCCCCCGAAGTCCTATTCCCATCAAAACTCTGAAAATTTGAATCTGGGCTTTTTTTGGGTTTTGACTCGACCGAGTCAAAACGAGATTATTCAGAATTCGGCCCAGCCCATTCTTCTGACTCGGGGTGTCTAACTCGGGGTGTCTGACTCGGGTATCTGACTCGGGGTGTCTGACTCGGGGTGTCTGACTCCAGCCGAATCAAGAAGGAAGCTCTTGACGTATTTCATCCCTTTACTTCCAGATTGCTCCCGTTTTGGTCCAAATCGCGTCCGAGACCTGTAGTCCTATAAAAACACAACCAAACCGAGTTTCGTGGCCTAACACGCCTATAATGCCTACAATGAATATGATCCTCGTCTAAATCCTATAGAAACGTCCTGGAAATATAGAGAGAATTAGGAGTTATCAGTGGTCATGGCGTCTTGCTAGAGGCTAACCATGACTTGTGGTTTGGGAAAGGATTTCCGAAGCCACTACCACTTCGAATGGGCCTACACGGTCACACACCATTAAGGATGGATCACACGTCATTGTGGGAACAGTGATGAATTAAGACCAGCATGATATGTGATTGATGATGATGATTATATGCATTGGATGCAAATCACAATCATGGGTACTCGTTTGGAACGAGTGACTGGATGACCCGCATGAGATTGTCATATGGACATGAGTCATGACTTGAACCTCATACAGCAGCAATTCATTCTTGGATCCTCAGACCTGAGATGTCTAGAGTATCTGATATGAGGAGTGGCGTATCTTGACTGCGTCAAACGTTGTCTTTAACCGAATGATCATAATGGCGTTGATCAGATATGTTCACGAATCATATGGAGATAGTAAACATGCAATATGGGACTTGTCACCTCCTTACCAGGAGAGATATCGCTAGGCCCTCTCGTGGAAATCGGTTTATGAAAAACGCGTGGCCACGCTATAGATGAAGTTGCATCTATTTTATTAGTCGATTTGCCAAGGCGAGAAAGCGGTTAAACTTGAAAGGTGACTCAAACCATGCACTTGTTCAACTTATGATATCGTGAGACAGAGGATCAGAATTCGAGCTGTTAATGCCTTGGTTAAATCACCTCTAACTCAATTCTAAGTAGGTGGTCATGGCGTCTTGTTAGAGGCTAACTCTGGCTTGTGGTTCGGGAAAGGTTCCAAAGTCACTACCACTTAGAATGGGCCTACAGGGTCACACACCACTAGGGATGGACTTATACGTGAAGAATCCGAAGAATGGAAACGAGATTTGACCGAAATGAGCATGAAAAGGAGTTTTCAGTGTGTTGGTCCAGAGCTGACCAAGTTTGGTCAGCCCCGGACCAAGTTTGGTCAGTCCAGGTGGTCCGGAAGCTCAGTCCGAGGTCATCTGTCCAAGTCTGGTCCGGCTGACCAAGAGTTGGTCAGCACCGGACCAGATGTTGGGTCAGGCGGACCAAGAAAAGGTGAGTCGGACTGAGCTGACGAAGAACGAACTTGGTCCGGAGCTGACCAAAACTTGGTCAGCCGGACCAAGCCTTCAAGTCAGGCAGTCCGAGGGCTCGGACTAAGCTTGGTCCGCCGGACCAAGCTCCTGGTCCGGCGGACCGGGATCAAAAATTTTCCAAAATTCGGATTTAGGGTTTTGGGTGATATTTTGATATAGGATGTCTAGCGTATTTCACTCGATTTTATATATTTGTAGACATTATAGGGCATATTTGGCTTCGATGTTGGTTGATTGTGTTATTTGGTGTTTAATAAAGAGAGCAAAAGGAGTGGAAAATATGGAATACGGAACATCACGGACGAACCGGAAACATTTGGAGTGTCTCCAGGGAAAACGTAAAGCTCAGAAAATATCAGATTACTTTCACTCTACAAGTCCAAATCATGCATTCTTATATCATTGGAAAGCTCTCTTCGATATCTACGTATAGACACCAAGATCACCAAAATCCGATGTCGGAGCAGGAAGTTATGAGCAAATTCATGAAGCCCGTTAAAACTGCAAAGTCACACGATCGTGTCACTTATGTAGACACGATCGTGTCACTTAAAATCTGGGAATTTTCCAAATTTTCCCAAAAGAAAGAGGAGATAATTAGGGTTAGCCTCCAAGGTCTAAAACATTCATACTTTTCACAGAAAACACATCCTAGACACATAAAGGGGGAGATTATCAAGAGGCAAGAGATCGGAGTAGAAGACGGAGATTACGAAGCCGGGAAATCAACTAAGCATTCTTCCTTTCTTCTATTTTACGATGTTTTGTATTATTAATATGAACCCTGTCGTTTCGATATTTAGCGAGTAGTTCCCTTGCCGTGGGTTAGGGATTTGCTATGTAGGGATCTTTGGTTTTTAATTCCAAACTATGTGGTATTATTTATTTAATTCAGTTTATTGAGTTGTTCTTAATGCGTTTGATCTTGTTGGCCACATGATTTAATGAACTTAGAGTTTTAATTCGCATAGACATATGAGATTCTAACCTGGAAATAACTCAGTAAATAGAACATGTATTGCATCGAGAGATGGATATTTGCCTAGGGATTATGGTAGCGTTCGTTCATGCATTCAGGGTTTAGACTATTGAATCGAGAGATTAGTAGGATAAAGCCTGGATAGTGAGGTTAGACTCGAGAGAGTTAATCTCTATTTTAGAGCTTGAATTCCCTGAATTGGATTTAGAAACCACAGAATCTGCATCTTTAGAGAAGACCCTTGCATGTAAAGCAATCCCGAAACCTGCAGTGTTTATCATTCATAGTTACAACCGTTTTCATTGTTCGCTTTGCCACATTCTTCCACTCATATTATTTTCTCTGGACCTTGATTTGGATTTGGATTTAAGTCAGTTGTTTACTTTGTCCCTGTGTTCGACCCTAGTTGCTACACACGATCCGTACACTTGCGGTTAATTGTTGAGTCTAGGATATTATTACTTGATCAAATTTATACACCTAGATTTGCGACATCAAGTTTTTGGCGCAGTTTCCGGAGACAATTTAGGCAATAGGATTAGATTCTATCTACTCTTGATCTTTTTATTTTTCTTTTACTTAAATGATTTCTCATGTTTTATGTGTTTGTTGTTTTTTTCGTTTGTGTGCAGGGTTTCCTAGTGCATGACCAGGAGTGTTGGGACATCAGACCTAGTACCTCTTGATCGTGAGCTCGAAAGGACCGTTAGATACATCCGACGTCAACGAAGACAAATGGAGAACGACCGAGATTTCGCTCTTCCCGATGGTGTCGAGGGCAATGCTGACTCAACCTTTGCCCAGTACAACATGGCCAACCACACTCAGCTTTTGGCTGGTATTCGACTACCGGCCATCGACATGTCTAGTTTCAAGATGAACCCGTCTACTATTCAGATGTTGGGCAATAATGCTTTCCGGCGTAGGCCGAACGAAGACCCGAATGCACATCTAACTCGCTTTAAGATGATGTGTCATTCTATCAAGAGAGATAACAGGGTGATAGAGAATACACTCCGACTGATTGCTTTTCCTTGGACTCTCTTGGATGCTGCTTTGGAATGGTGCTACGATCTGACACCCGATTCCATCCACACTTGGGAACAGCTGGAAGTGCAGTTTATGTCAAAAATTTTCCCAGCTCACCGCACTCAAGCAGCTCTTTCTGGCATTCATTCATTCAAGCAGGATCATGGGGAAAGCCTTTATAAAGCTTGGAAGAGGTACAAAGGATATCAGAAGTCTTGCCCTTATCACGGGCTTGACAAGAACTACTTGATCAACACCTTCTTCCGAGGACTCAGAATGGATACCAAGACTTTGATCCGAGCTTCGTGTGGTGGGAGCATCCAGAACAAGTCATTCGCTGAGCTAGAAGATCATATTGAGATGATGGCCCAAGAAGAAGACACCCCGAACGAGTACTCTAGAGATCCGCCAAGGGAATGCAATGATCACACAATACAGATGGTTCTTGAACAATTGGCTGTCCTCAATGCTAAGTTCGAAGATTCCAACCGACCCTCTAGGACCAAGCATTTGATGCCAACACAAGAGGAGCTTGGTATGTACGCGTTGGATGAGAGAGTCGAAGGTGTGAACTACGTGGTCAATAACGCCTACTCGAACACGTACAATCCAGGGTGGAAGAATCATCCCAATCTCTCCTACAAGTCAAACAATGTGGAGAATCTCGTGCCGAACAACTTCAGAGCATCCGACAAATCGAACCAGAGGATTCCTTCCAGTTTTGCTTTTCAATCCAGGGGTCCTAATCAAACATCCAACTACAGAGCTCCGGGGCAATCCTATATTAATTCCACACCTCCATGTAATCCTGAATCCAACCCTGATATGCACACTTTGCTTATACAGTTTATACAGAATCAGGAAAAGACAAATCAGGAATTTCGAGCTCAGTTCGCAAGCATCGATGCTCACTTCAAGATCATAGACAACCATATCGCTCAGCTAGCATCAGTCTCTCAAAGACCATCTGGATCTCTTCCAGGTAAACCTGAGACTAACCCCCGTGAACATGTCAATGCGATTACTTTGAGAAGTGGTAAGCAGGTAGACATTGAAGACCGACCGATGGTTGAGCGAGGAAAAAGCTCGAAGACTGCAGTTGTAGACATCCCCGATGATGAACCTGAACCGGCTTAAGTGCCTCCTCCTCCTAGGCCACCACCAGTACCATTCCCATCTCGCCTGAGGAAACACAACGAAGATAGCCAATTTGCAAAGTTCATTGAGATGCTGAAGAAACTCGAGGTAACCATGCCATTCACTGATGCTATTTTGCAGGTTCCCTCGTACACGAAGTATTTGAAGGACATCCTGACTAAAAAGAGGGTCGTTGAGAAAGAAACCGTAGCGCGTACTGCCAAATGCAGCGCTTTGATCCAACACAAGCTTCTGCTTAAGCGGCCTGATCCAGGTAGTTTCTCAATCCCTTGTAAATTGGGTAATGTTTCCATCGATCGTTCACTCTGTGATCTAGGAGCCGGCGTCAGTCTTCTTCCATTATCAATCTTACAGAAGTTGAATGTGGGTGAGCTAAAGCCCACTAGAATGTCTCTTCAACTTGTCGATCGTTCCGTTAAACACCTGCTGGGATACTTGAGGATGTGCCACTGAAAGTTGGAAACTTAAATCCCGGTTGATTTCGTTGTTCTCGACATGGACGAAGACTCTAAGGTACCTATAATTCTTGGTCTTCCATTCCTTAACACTGTAGATGCTATCATTCATGTTCGAGCAGGTCGACTCACTATGAAGATTGGCGATGAGACGGTAGAATTCACTCTGGACAAAAATCTAAAGCAACCGTCATCTACAGACACGATCGTGTCTAGCTCGTCACACAATCGTGTCCGAAGCCGCAATGCTGTATGCGCAGCCAACTGACCCAATCGTGTCCCTTTTGCAACATGATCATGTTGACGGTACATCAACTTCCGAAAAAATTCAGCAGTCTCATCCCTTACCCAGAACCGAAAGATACACGCATTTGACCCGATCGTGTCATCCCCACCACACGATCGTGTCTCATCCTTGATCCAGAAACGAAAGACACATGAAGTTGACCCGATCGTGTCTACTGCGCAACACGATCGTATCCCAACGCTGATCCGAAGCTCAAAGTTACAGATCACTCACCCGATCGGGTCTCCCATTTTCACACGATCGTGTCAGGACCTTAATCAGCCACATGGCTCGTTTTCACCTCACACGGGCATTCACGACCCCTCTCACTCAGTTAAACAGGTGACTACCCTATCAGACCATTATGCTCATATACTTCATGATCCAGGTTGGCGAAAGATCGATAATCTTCACCTCTTAGACTTGTATGGTAGTTGAGGAGGTTTGGTCAAGCTAATGACCTTAAACAAGCGCTTCCGGGAGGCAACCCGAGTTTGTAGGTTAGTTTTTCTCTCCTCTTTTTCTTTTTGCATCGGATATTGGTTTGTGTCTCTTATCACCAGGTTGAGTTCTAATAAGGAGCTACTGAGGAGACGAGGAAGCTAGCTATGCGATTGACGTAGGCAAACTTAAGTGCGAGTGAAGGAACATCGCGAGCTAAGTACTCTTTTCCCTTTTTGATTTGCTTCTCTTTTGACTCATCTTATTGGTTGCCTCTACTAGACAATAATTGACACCGAGGACAGTGTCCAGTTCAAGTCTGGGGGAGGATTCGTCTAACGCTAAACCATATCCATATAGAGTAGTGTTGCATGCATTTTTTCGTTTTATTTTCACATTTTAGTTGCATGGACATATAGGATGCATTAGGATCATATAGTTTGTTGTTAGGATTGTGCATTCTCATATGGTGTTTAGGACATATAAGATCACGTGCATAAAACCGTTTTGAGCATTGATATGATGATCTATGGCATGAGAGAGTAGAAACGTCCTGAAAACATTGTGATCCGTTGAATGTGGTTAAGTTTTGTCGAATTGATTGCTTGACCTTTAGGATTGTTTAGAATGGCTTGTGGGATAGAAACCGTTGGTTGGAACCCATGGGACCGATATTGTCTAGCCAAGTAGAAAAGTTTCTATAAGAACCTTTCCCATGTTTGCTGAAATCGGTAAAGTCTGTTATCAAATGCATTCTTATTTCTTCATGTGCAGAAATAGATAGTGAGCATCATACTAGACAGACTTGATCATTGTTCACGGGGACCTAGGTCGGATAGAGGTTTCCCTCACGATTACCATTTTGAGTTACGTCATCGTCTCACCCTCCTCTCAGACTGTTTTTCGTTGAGTATTTTCTCGAGAACGAGCAAAGGTTTAAGTCTGGGGGAGTTTGATAACACGTATTTTGGGTGATGTTTTGATATAGGATGTCTAGCGTATTTCACTCGATTTTATATATTTGTAGACATTCTAGGGCATATTTGGCTTCGATATTGGTTGGTTGTTTCTTTGGTGTTTAAATAGGAATCCACACATAAAGAGAGCAAAAGGAGTGGAAAACATGGAACACGGAACATCACGGACGAACCGGGAACGTTGGAGTGTCTCCAGGGAAAACGTGAAGCTCAGAAAATGCCAGATTTTGCAAGTCCGATAACTTTCACTCTACAAGTCCAAATCATGCATTCTCTATATCATTGGAAAGCTCTCTTCGATATCTACGCATGACGCCAGGATCACCAAAATCCGATGTCGGAGCAGGAAGTTATGAGCAAATTTGTGAAGCCCGTCAAAATTGGAAAGCCATACGATCGTGTCACTTATGTAGACACCATCGGATCACTTAAAATCCGGAAATTTTCCAAATTTTCCCAAAAGAAAGAGGAGATAATTAGGGTTAGCCTCCAAGGTCGAAAACATTCATACTTTTCACAGAAAACACATCCTAGACACATAAAGGGGGAGATTATCAAGAGGCAAGAGATCGGAGTAGAAGACGGAGATTACGAAGCCGGGAAATCAACTAAGCATTCTTCCTTTCTTCTATTTTACGATGTTTTGTATTATTAATATGAACCCTGTCGTTTCGATATTTAGCGAGTAGTTCCCTTGCCGTGGGTTAGGGATTTGCTATGTAGGGATCTTTGGTTTTTAATTCCAAACTATGTGGTATTATTTATTTAATTCAGTTTATTGAGTTGTTCTTAATGCGTTTGATCTTGTTGGCCACATGATTTAATGAACTTAGGGTTTTAATTCGCATAGACATATGGGATTCTAACCTGGAAATAACTCAGTAAATAGAACATGTATTGCATCGAGAGATGGATATTTGCCTAGGGATTATGATAGCGTTCGTTCATGCATTCAGGATTTAGACTATTTAATCAGAGAGATTAGTAGGATAAAGCCTGGATAGTGAGGTTAGACTCGAGAGAGTTAATCTCTATTTTAGAGCTTGAATTCCCTGAATTGGATTTAGAAACCACAGAATCTGCATCTTTAGAGAAGACCCTTGCATGTAAAGCAATCCCGAAACCTGCAGTGTTTATCATTCATAGTTACAACCGTTTTCATTGTTCGCTTTGCCACATTCTTCCACTCATATTATTTTCTTTGGACCTTGATTTGGATTTGGATTTAAGTCAGTTGTTTACTTGTCCCTGTGTTCGACCCTAGTTGCTACACACGATCCGTACACTTGCGGTTAATTGTTGAGTCTAGGATATTATTACTTGATCAAATTTATACACCTAGATTTGCGACATCACTAAGCTTATTTAAGTTTGGGATTTCATCCAAACTTATTTAAGGCCACCCTAAAACTCAGAGAAACATCCTAGAACCCTAGAGAACCTGTTCTCTTCGATTTCTATTGTCCCGGGATTGGATCTCGTCTCTTGAGTTACCCTTTTCTTCACTAATCCTAGCAGATTCGTTCCAGATCGTTTTGGAATCCTTCCCGTCGGTGTGGATACGTGTAGAGGGACGGTAGCTTCAGTCCTAGGTGATTTAGAATAGGCCCCGGATCGATCTTTGCTTTAAACTTCATCGAGAACGAGGTAAGTAACGATTCCTTCAGTGATATACACTATCCATAGAGTTAGCCGTAAACCCTAGATCGATTTGATCGCATGCTAGGAACCCGTAGATTAGCCAACATCTGCCTCCTCTTCAGTTACTATCCAATTGTTACTCATACTCCTCGTTATCTGAAAAAAAAGTTAGTCAACGAGGGCTAAGGACAACTGCTTAGTGAATGATCCGGGTTGGATCCGGTAAACTCGTTCCCAGCGAGAACGGTATTAAAACGATAAAACACAAAGTATATTATTCAATATTAAGCATATATTCATATCATATTAGAACATCATCATATTCATTCCCGTATGGCTTCACACCATCGGGCTAGCCGTAAACCCTGGTCACTTCTCATGACTAGGAGCGCCTCTCACGCCCGTCACATCTCATGATGTTGGCCGTCGCATCTCACGACAATCAAGTATGTATGGTTTCGCACCATAGAGTTAGCCGTAAACCCTAGTCACATCGCATGAGTAGGAGCGCCTCTCACGCCCGTCACACCTCATGACGTTGGCCGTTGCTTCGCGCAACAATCAAGTCTCGTATGGCTTCGCACCATAGAGTTAGCCGTAAACCCTAGTCACATCGCATGACTAGGAGCGAGCCCGTCACATCTCATGACGTTGGCCATCGCTTCGCACGACAATCAATGCGCCTCACGCGTAGTCACTTCTTGTGACGACCGATGTCACTTCTCTGACCCATCGGAGTATAAAACCCAGTCATCATACAACGATTCACTCGGTGTATGTCGCACATCTCACCAATTCTTCCTATTTACGTTTTGTCGTGTTCCGGCTCGTTTTTCACATAATTTGATCGATTCCAAGGTTTATATTTCATCCCTAGGTCTTTTTGCTCAATTTCATCACTTTTTAGTCTGGACCGGTCGGTATTGAAATGTCCTCTTTTGATTCAAACTATAAATTCATTCAATTATCACACCTATTTTCTGGGTAATGACCCGAAAGTCTCGGACTTGGAACGAGTTTGCGTTTTTCTCTGAAATTTACAGTTTTTCTTCGATTTTCAAACTTTCATATCTTACTTGTTTCTTCATCAAATCGAGTGTCGTTTGTTTCTATGTGTTCATTGCAACTTCCACTTTCTAATCATCCCCAAGTTTCATCGAATTAACACCATAGCAATGATGAGAATGAGCTCACACAGAGGCAACTCGAGCCACTCACCTTGCTCAGATTCGGATCTGAGTTTTGGCAGGATTTGATGGCATTTTCTGGGGACTCTGACGATGGCGACTCTCCTAGACCTTCTGAGGTCGGTCCTCTTTACTCCCACGAGCTCCTTTCCTCTTCTCTCTCTCTCTTTCTCTTCCTCTCTCTCTTTCTTCTCTTTCTCCTTTGTTCTTTCTCTGCAGAGAAAATGGTTGAGATGCAATCTTTGCAGGGGTTTTTCTTCGACAAGGATGAGTCGAATGGGTTCTAGCTCATTCCCACTGTAAAGCCTGCATTGTGGAGGGGGCAGGCGTGGTCACAACGCATCATTTGGTGCCCCACGCGCGGAGAAAAGCTCAGGGGAAGTCCGCAAGTCGAGCTGGATCGCACCCTGTTTTTGTCGGCCTGGACCGGTCGGTCCAGGCACCCTATTTCCCGTTTTCCACCGTT